ACACTCTCTTGATAATTGATCGAACAAGTGGACAGAAATGAGGAAGGATACAGAAGCCCTGGATGGCACTGGCAACCACTCTGACCTAAATGACATTATAGAACACCCCTCCAACATAGCAGAGGACACATTCTTCTCATGAGCACAGGGGACATTTGCCAACAGAGACCACATTCTCCAGCAACCATGACACGATTCTCAATAAATCTCAAATAATCCAAATAAGAGTTTGTCAGTAGTGGGAGGGAAGAGCGGACCCCAAGAGCCCTGAGCAGCCCATGCACCTCCTCCAGCTCCAGTCTCCGTCACTGCACCCTTGAGTGGTGACCTGGCCCAGTCACCATCACCACACGCTGAGCAGCGAGGCCAAGACCCTCAGCTGCCCCCGCCCCCAGTGCTGCCAACACCTAGCCCAGCACCAGCGGCAGGGCGCAGGCACAAGAGGGTAATTGTAGCAAAGGTTTTGGGAACAGTAAAATGGTTGAGTGTAAGAAATGGATGTGGTTTCATCAAGAGGAAGGACACCAAGGAAGATGTATGTGTACACAGACGGCCACAAAGAGGAAGAACCCAGTGAGGACCTTTGCAGCGCAGGAGACGGGGAGACTGTGTGGTTTGGTGCTGTTAGAGGAGAAGGGGTGCAGAGGCAGCAGAGGTGACAGGCCTGGTGGAGCTGCAATGCAAGACAGTAAATAGACAGCAGCCCGGGACCATCACAGCTGCTGTTCACATCACAGGGGTCCTCCACACACCCACCAGCAGGACCACCAGAATAGTGAGAGCAGGAAAGAGCGAGGGATCAGAGAGTGCTCCTGAAGGCCAGGCCCCACAGTGCCAGCCCGACCACATGCAGGCCACAGTCCCCACCTTCCTACACGCAGAGACACTATGGGTGACAAGCACAGTGTTCCAGCCGTCCTGTGCAGGGAGAAGTGATGGAGGGGACTGACAACCAGAGTGCAGGAGAACAAGGGAGACCAGTGAGACAGAAGCTGTGTCAGGGTATAGACCACAATTCCGCAAGGATCTTCCTCGCCAAAGACAGCCCTGAGAGGGTGGCCATGGAGATCAAGAAAATCAAGGAGATGAGACCCAATGTAAGCAGCCACCTCAACATCAGCACCGCCGCACCTTCAATGACCAATACAGATGCCAGGAAAACCCTAAAGCACAAGATGGTAAAGGGACAAAAGCAGTTGCTCCTGCTGCTGAGAATCCCGCCCCTCCCGAGGCTGAGCAGGCAGGCTGGGGAAATGTGGGCTCTCCATCGCCACCACCAGCAGGTTTAGTCAGCCGACAGGAAGGAAGGAGTATGAAGTTCCACCAATAAGAGAGGAACTAAAGGTGGGAGCTGAAGACCTGAAGTGCTTGCTTTCTGCCCATTGACCAGATAACTAGAACCATCTGCATCATCCCATGCAGCACGGGACTTTCATTAATTTATCTAAAGACGTCTCTTTTTGGTAATGACAAATGTGTTTTTTTTTTTTTAATGAAGACTAGTTTTTCTCAATATGTCTTTAAAAGTATTAAAATTGTTTCATATCTGGTCAAGTTAAATTTTTAAGAACCTCATTTTTAATTTGTGATAAAAGTTTACAACTTGATATTCTCAAAAAACTCAACAAACTGCAAGCACCTGTTAATAAAGATCTTAATAAAAAAATTTAAATAATACGAAATATTTTCTCTGAATGTTGGAATTAAATTAGAAATCAGTAACATAAAGATATCTGAAAAATCCCCCAAATAGTTGGAAACTAATAACAAGGGAGATTAGAAAACATTTCAACTGGAATGAAAATGAAAACATGACACACCAAAATTTGTGAGATGCAACAAAAACAGTGCTTAGACGGAAACATATATAAAACACTCATAGCAGAAAAAGCTAGAAAGGTCTAAAACCAACGACCTATAAAACTCTTCAAGAACATAGAAGAGAAAGGAATGCTTCCCAACTCACTCTACGAGGCCAGCATCACCCTGGTACCAAAACCAACAACAGGATAAAGAGGCACAGACCAATATCCCTCACGAACACACAGAAAGTCCTTGGAAAGTTTCAAAATCAGTGACCTAAGCTTTCAACTTAAGAAACTAGAAAAAGAGCAAATATCCTAATTATGCTGAAAAAAGGAAATAATAAAGAGCTGAAGTAAAGTAAATAGAAAACAGAGAAAGGGAAAACAAGAGAAAAATCAAACCAAAACCTGTTTTTTTGAGCTGAACGATCACATTGACAAACCCCTACCCAAACTGATTCAGAGGAAGAAAGGATAAACATTACCAATATCAGAAATGAAAAAGAGGATGTCACTATTGATACTAAGATATTGAAAGGGTAAAGGAATATTATGAACGACTCTGTGCCAATAAATTCGACAACACAGACGAAACAGACAAATTCCTTATACCCACTACTGGAGCCCCCTGAAGGAGAGAGAACCAGAATAAAAATGAAACAGGCAGTCAAAATGGCCACATCAGGATCCAGATCCTTTTAAGCATGGGTATTATTTTCCCATCTTACAATTATGATCACATTACAGTTTAGAAATCTCAAATTACTGCAAGTTGTTTCTGATTTGCTAACCCAGCACTGTAATTCCTAGTTCGTTAAGAGTGATGGTCTGGAAGCCTAGAAATTCTGCTTCTGGCCTTGTCCTTAGTAAATGAAAGATGAGGGGCTAATTCACAGCTGATAGGCTAATTCTGGTTCCAACCAAACTGCAACACTGAGCCAGAAAACAAATTACCCTTCGAGGCAGGGACAAATTCTCCAGAAGGTTCTCAACTTTGTGATGAGGCTCTGGGATTCCTAAGGGAGGATTTTACCCAAAATATCTGTGGCTGGTATTTCCATTAAATACATCTTGAGACACAAATCCTTCTAACACAAAGGAGAAGTACCTGGAATGGCCAACACTGTCTCAGAGGAGATCAGTGGAAGTCCTTTTAGGTTAAATTCACACCAACTTGTCACCACCTCCCCCTCATCTGAAGTTCCGTTTTTTTTTTTTTTTTAGGAACATTAGCCCTGAGCTAATATCTGCTGCCAATCCTCCTCTTTTTGCTGAGGAAGACTGGCCCTGAGCTAACATCCATGCCCATCTTCCTTTACTTTATATGTGGGACGCCTGCCACAGACATGTCCACACTGGGATCTGAACTAGCAAACCTCAGGCCACCGAAGTGGAACCTGCACACTAAACCGCTGCGCCACTGGGCCAGCCCACTGAAGTTTCTTAATTTAGTTGGTTCAACTAAGTACTATCATCTCGTAAAATCTTATTAGGCATTTCAACTTGAGAAGACACTATTATACCAACAAACAATGGCCGAATAGCTCCTCTGAAAGTATTAATCATGGTATTTTTCTCATGAAAGACAAAGACTTTGCTAAAAATATCAGCGCCTAAACATGATGAAATGCACAAATTTCTTCTAAGTTTTGGAAGCTTCCTTTTACTTGTCAGGTAAAAGAAGATACTTTTCCTTTACACTTGGAATACTTTACCTCTAAAAAACATTTTTCTGAGCAGCTTGATTTCATGCTGTGCAATGACCAATAAGAGAAGCCTCAAAACCAACTTTTACAAGAGGAGAATGCAGAGGTTAGCGTGAGTTATTATGTAGTTATATACTTTTTGTAAAGTTTGGAAGCTACCACAGTGGTCAGGAGGGGAAACTGAGGCTGAGATGACTAGCCATCAGCCTCAGTTAACTGGGGAACAAGTGAAATCTGCAACGGACCATGTAAAGCCCTGTCCCAGGGTCATTGTGGCCTCTCTCCACATAAGGCTGTCTCTTGGGCTCTGCTTGTTTTAGAGGTGCACTATGACGGGGCGTTGGTTGGGTTTCATTTACGTGTAAACTATCACCGCGTTAATTCAACAATTACTCAGTAGATACCTATGAGCTGAGGATATAAAAATGAACAAATTAAAGGCAGAAGCCTACCCTGCTGTGGGAAAACAGGAATTCTCATAGATTGCTGATGGAAGGGAATCCGACAACATCTACAAACTCACAGCCATCCACTTCTGGCATCCCATATGCATCCACACCAGTAAGAACCGGCACACGCACAGATACTCACTGCAGCCTTATGTGTAAGGGCTGGACAGCATCCCAGTCTGCAGCGATACCAAACAGTCTGAATAACCTGCAGCCACACACTGGAACACTGTGCGGCCGAAAACGACAATGCAGATCTTTGTATGCTGACACAGAGGGAGCTGGGTGTTTCGTACAATCAAAAACAAGTGAAAGAGTGCACACTGTGTGCTACCTTTGGTGCAAGAAAAAGAGGATATAGGCACATCTATTCTTGTTTGCTTGGTTTTGCTTAAAAAAAAATTATCATTATAAACTACCGGGAAAAAACCTATCTAATGGAGGAAGCAAGATTTTCCGCATACACCATTTTCGATCATTATTATTTCAAGACCTTGTAAGTACTGCCCATTTTCTTAAGTGCCCTGGTGAGCTCGCAGCGTAGCAGAGACACACAGGAGAGAGTTCAAGTGCAACACTTGGTGCTGCATCTGGAAGGAAGAGTCTGGAAGGGCGAAGGCAGGAGGCGATGGCACGTGCGCAGTGTGCCTCGTGCCCACCCCTGACCCACAAGCTGTGGACACGACCTTGGGTGGTGCCCGGTCCTGGCACGCCCCGAGCAGGGACAACACCCTTGCGCCCCGCTGCCCGCCGGGCCTGCCCTCCACGTCCCGCCTCCCACAAGACCCCAACCCGCCAGCCGCCAGCCGCCATGCTGCACTCTGAGCTCCCACCTCCTCTCGGCCCAACGAGACGGGCCTGACTGCGAGCCTGCCGGGTCCTCATTGGCTCGCCGCCCGCCTGACTGCCATTGGCTCTGACCCCTTTGCGGGGCGGGCCCCCGGCTGGGACCCCAATCGCGATTGGCCATTTTCTTGACGGGCAAAATCACTCTTCTGATTGGTCTTCCTTTTAGGAGGGAAGTGCCCCTGGGCTGCAGCGCAGCGGTTGCACGTCTGGCGCTGCGTCGGCGGAAGCTGCGAGCCTGGCGGCCGCTGAGCAACTCTGACAGGGCAGCCGCAGGCCAGGAGGGAGCCCCTGACGGGTGGAGGCCGCGCTGCCGGAGCTCTCGCGCCTGAGCCCCACTGTCCGTCCTTGACAGGCAGTCTCATCGTGAGCGGCACGGGCGTGGCGGGGACAGGGCCAGGGCCTGGGAAAGGCCTTGGCGGACGTCAGCTCTGCAAACACCCGTGAGGGGGCCGTCTGGGCCCTCTCACTGGGCTGAGGTCAGTGTCCTGGGCTGGGAGGAAGCTTTACGAGGGGGGCTGTCAGGGGCAGATGGGTCACCGACTCCGTCGCATGAGCATGTGTGGCGGACCATGTGATGGCCCCCGGGAGGAAGTGGTGGGGAGGTATGAGGAGGGAGGCAGGGGGTACCTCCGCCTTCCGGGGCACGTAGGGCCTGTGAGCGGGTCTTGAAGAAAGTATCGCGAGGTTTCCAATCAGCGAGGGGGGAAGGGTGGAGCTGGCAGGGCGGGCTCTGGCGAGTTGTGGGATTCACCCGGGCATGGTCTGCGGTCGAGAGGGCGACGCTGGCGGCTCTGGGCTGGGCTGGCGCGACCATGGCCGGACCAAGGAGTTTGGCTCTCCTGGGTGGGCGGGAGCCGGACAGCAGCAGATGCAGGGTGGACGGGCGCCTAGGGGGAGCACATGGCAGCAGGGAGAGGATGAGGGCGGGAGACCCCACAAGCGGTCATGGCAGGAGGCCGGAGAATTTCCCACCCCCACACCTTGGTGAGAGGACACAGAACTTCCAGGGTTCCTCGAAGGGTGACTGATGCCCCCTGTTTACCCCCCAAAACTCCCCCATTCCTGCTGCTGGTCCATGGGAGAGTGTGTTTACCCTACAGAAGGAAAGAGCCCCTTCTCCTGGATCTTCTAAGCACAACCTGAATGAGCTGGAATTTTCATAGAGAAGGCAGCACCAAAAAGGAGTTAAATATAGAGAATATAAATATATAAATATAAATTGTGTGTAGTAATTTACAAATATAAATCATATATTAATATATTAATAAAGGTAAAGTTAAAAAACCCCACTATGTCAGGCTGGCCCCATGGTCTACTGGTTAAGTTCAGCACACTTCACTTCAGGGGCCCAGGTTTGGTTCCTGGGCATGCACCTGCACTGATCCTCAGCAGCCATGCGGTAGTAGTGACCCACATACAATCTACAGGAAGATTGGCAACAGATGTTAGCTCAGGACTAATCTTCCTCAGCAAGAATAAAAACTTAAAATAAATAAATAAAAAACAGAGATGGAAAACGTAGATTTCTTGCCCTGCCTACCACGACTAGGCCAGTGGGCACATGGGGTAGGGTTTCAGTGGCAGTTCAGATGGTCTGGGTTTGAGCAACACATGCCTCCCCCCGAGCACAATGGAGTCAGTGGGCACAACTCTTCAGCTGCCTGCTCCTCCCTTGCTCTGGCAAGTTTCAGGAGTGTGGTCTGGATGGTAGAATGATGGGGCAGCTACCTGGGGCTGCCAGGGAGTGGTGTTTGGAGAACCAGTTACTCTTCCCAGGGAGGCCCAACATGGTGGGTACAAGAACCCAGAGTCAGCCTCGGGCAGAGAGGCTGCAGGAATTGGGGGAGGATGCACCTGTGGTAACGGCTGGAGCACGTGGGGACAGATGTGACTGCCATTTCCAGGGCTGGAGACAAAAAGAAGGAGGGGCTAGGAAACCAGTTCATAGTGAGGTGTAATGAGGATAATTGTGGAGAGGTAATTTGGGGCAGCATGCAGTGGGCCTTGATGGTGGAGCTTGGGCTAAATCTGGCCCTGGGGAGAATAGCAGACTAGGGGAGGGGACAGCCTGGGGACAGAGAAGATGGAAGCTGCAGGAGACAGACAAAAGTGGACAAAAAGATGGCAGTGAGGACTGACTTGGGAGAAATGTGAGACTTTTTTTGCCCCATGCCCCCCTAAAAAAATGCTCTCAGATATTGGGGAGGGCATGGACTACCCGAAGTAAATGAACTGATTTGAGCAGTGTCATTTGGATACTGACAGAAGGGGGAACTCCAGGAGGCAGGAAGACGTAGGGACATCTGGGTCACATGTAGAATTAAGAGGAGTAGGGCAGAGTAATGCCTTCGCCTTATTAACCTAAAAATAAGGAGCCAAAATGAGAGGCAGAGAAGTGTTTATTTTGGGATCAAAGAATTGCAATTCAGGGAGCAGAGATTCAGGTAGAAACCCAAATAGTGTCTCACTAAGGAGTAAAAGTTAGGGGCTTTTAAAGGCACAGAGGGAGATTTGCTTTACAAAGAATGTTAATAGGGGTTTGCAACAGAAAGCTAATCTTTGCCAAAAATAATTGATTGCTAGGGCTAGCCAGAGGGAGGCAAATGTCTGAGTCTGTGCTGAGCTGCAGGTTTCTTGCAGCATTCCTTGGTTCAAAAATTCATGTTCTGCTGGAAGAGGATGGGCATAAGACCCATCTTCTTCATGGCTTTCCAGCTCCATTTTAAAGCCCTTAGACAGAAGTTACTCTCTTTCATTTCACATTTCACGTTTCACATTTTCCCCTTTTGGTCAAGATCTTTCTCTGAAAGCATCGCTGATCAACCATAGATTTGTTTAGTCCCACACTGCTGGGATGGACTGGTTCCGGAAGTCATGTCTCATGTCAGCGCGGGGGGTGGAGATTGTGCCTTCCCAATGGATATTTCCAGGGGTCAGTGCCATAAGGGTTAGGCCACATTTGAGCAACAAGGAGGTGGTAAAGAAATGAGTCTTAGGCAGTTTCCTTGCCTTGGAATTTCATCTGGTTCCCTGAAGGTTCAGGTGAATAAGCCTTATCCATCATTTCAATACCTTGAGCGACCATCAGCTTGGTATTTGTAGGAGTTCTCGAGCAGATCTGAGTGAGTAGTAGCATAAGAAGCTTAAATACAAATACACATAGCAAAAGTCTAAAAATAATCATAAACAATATTTGAAGTCCTGGTCTCATCCAAGCACCTTTCCCCAAAGGAAGTCAGCTAAAAACACTGATAGGGAACCAGAGGGTGTCATTGAAAGACATTGGACGGGAGACATCCTGTGCTATTTTTAAATTTTTTCCAAGTTCTAACTCAACTTCGCCAGAAGAGTTGATGCAAGTACAGCTGGAGGTGTTGGTTACAACACAGATGCCACCCTATTCTGCAAGGAGATAATGGAGTGCCATTCGATTATCTGGTACAACCCTTGCTAGGGAATCCAGGGATCGTTGTTATTGAGCTAAGGCTCGAGCCGTAGAATTTGCCGCTTTAGCTGTAGTTGGGGTTAAATTTTTAATCAACAAGTCATTATGGACAATGTCAAACCACAGGACAAAGCCTTTGGCAATGGTAATCAGTGGAGAGGAGATGGGGTATAAAAAGGGTCTCTAAGTCTCACCTAGACCTTTGAGATTGCAGTTAGGTTTCATCTTTAACAAGAGCTTGAAATAGAATGTTACGATATCCTGCAGGCATTATCCTGCCATATGCCAGCTGTCTAGATATTCATAAGCCCATGGTTCCCCTAGGTGGAAGGTATACCCAGAAGGGACACATAGTATGCAGTGCCTTCCAGTTCAGTGTCAGTGGTCAGGTCCTTTCCAATGGAACTCAAGGGCTGTCTTCTTCTGATGAGGCTTCCAAAATACCCAGTCACTAGGCTATAGACTGTGACCAACATCATCCTTTGAGTTGGAATCCAGGAAAGCATCTTTAACCTGTTGATGATGGGCTTGAGCAGAAGACCATAGAGACTTACAGTAGCTAGTCAGACATGCATAAGACAACAGGGGTCAGCAAAAGGCTCTGTACCAATACACACTGATCTGCTGGTGACTTTCTCATGTGGAGTTAGTTCATGTTTTCCAAAGAGGACACAGCACACAGTCAGCAAGACCCAAGGCAATACCTTAGGCTGGGGAGTCTAGTCCACAGTATATGACAAACCTCAAAGACAATTAACAGGACTAGCATCTAATATGTACAAAAGTGCAAACATAATTTTTCTCTCTACAATTATCCTGAATTTTCTTTTTGCCAAAAATAATCACAGTAACACTAATTTGTTTTATATTAAAAACTTGGCCTAATTATTACTTTTTTTTCTTTTTGAGGAAGATTAGCCCTGAGCTAACTGCTAGCAATCCTCCTCTTTTTTGAGGAAGACTGGCCCTGAGCTAACATCTGTGTCCATCTTCCTCTACTTTATATGTGGGATGCCTGCCACAGCATGGCTTGCCAAATGGTGCCATGTCCGTACTCGGGATCCAAACCCGCGAACCCCGGGCTGCCGAAGTGGAACGTGAGCACTTAACTGCTGCGCCACTAGGCCGGCCCCATGGCCTAATTATTTATACAAGTGAAAATAAGAATACTCACTGAAAGTTTCTGAATTCTGGAGGGATCAGGTAGGGAGAAAAAGTAAATGTTTCATCTTGGTTCACAATGCATGTCTTATCAAATTGTTGGTAGCTTAAGAGAAAAGTTTCTTTAAATCTGGAAAAACAAAACATTAGAACATTCTCCTCAGCTCATGTACTGCCCAGTAATTAATACCCGTCCTGCTTAAATCCAGTTTTTCCATTAGTTTTCTTGACTTTGCCTGATGATGGAGAGTGATAGGGACAGTGATAATCCCAAGAAGTTTGTGAAGTTTTTATTAAGGTTCCTATGATTTCCCAGTGAAGTGAGTACCTTGGTCACTGGAGGTTGTGGAAGATTCCCAAGTGGGAAGCACGTGTTCTAGCAGTTCCTTTGCCATTGTGAGGGCATCAGCTTTGTGGTAAGGGAGAGGCTTTAACCCATCCAGAAAACACATCCAACAACAAGAACATATTGATGAGCCATAGGAAGTGGCAGTTGAATGAAGTTCAGCTGCAGGTGCTCAAAGGACCCAGAGGGAGGACTTCTGAGGCCTCTGGGGATGGAAATAGTTTTTCCTCTAGTGGGTGAAGCAATGTAGAAACTGAAAAGTTGGATTTACCAGAGAGCAGGGAAGAGCCCAGTGGCTGTCTTGGGTTTTCCACAGCCCCGACTGTTGAATTTGCAGCCATTGTTTACCCACCTTCATCTCTCTGCTACAGGAGTAGACTGTTGCCATGATATAAGGACATCAGGATGGCAGCTGTCTGGCACTGAGGGATGATTCTTTGCAGAGGCAGAATGGACTTCATCCACATATGCCCATCTTTATAGATTCTGTGGTTGTTGCCTTTGCATGAAAGTCAGCTAAGGAG